TATTATTCTGGAGGAAACTGGTATGGACCAGATGGGACAATAGTAGATGGTACTGATGTTCCAGGAGTTACCAGAAAGAGAGGTCTATTTGTAGTGAGACTGAAGAGGACCACCACTGGTACTGCACAAAAGGGGATATATTGGTGTTCAGTACTGGATGCTGCATCCACACTCCAGACTGTCTTTGTTGGACTGTACAACACTGGAAGAGGTAATGTTTGGTTTTTAAATGTACATTATACTGGCACTCTCTATACTCAGGGAATCTAATATTGTCTGGTGGTATGAATTTCACTCTTCATACTGACAACTCGTTCACCCTCACCTGTATCTCCACTGGTGGACCTGCTACCACTGTCACTTGGACCAGAGACTCCACCACTGTCACCCAAGGAACCCAGACTGTGTTGAATGATGGGGTGACTGCACAGTACACCCACACTCTGACAGACAGAACAGCAGGACTCTACACATGTGTAGTAGCTAACAATGTTTCAAATGTTTCAGCAAAGTTACCTGTGCAAGGTGAGATCGAGTAAGTTCCAGAGAATAGCAAAATTTTAACCATAACACTAGGTCCCTCTCCTCCGTCTAATGTGAGAGTGTCTCAGAATGGGCTGAACAGTCTACTGGTGACCTGGACACCATCAGAAGGGCCCAATGCTACTGGCTACACCGTCTACTACTACCAAATAAATGGAGGATTTAGTGGATCAGTGACAGCTGCTGCGACAGATACTAGCGTCGTCATCACTGGACTAATTGCAGGGGCAGCCTTCTCCATCAGTGTATCAGCCGACTCCAGTACACTATCAAGTTCTAGATCCCGAGGACCGGATACTTTAATAGGTATTCTCCTCTTGAGCCTTAACTGTAAATCTCATTGTTTACATGCAGTACCTGCGACCATCTCGCTCACATCTTCTCCTCCCTCCCCCATGATGTCTGGAGCTACTGTCTCGCTCACCTGCTCCATTTCCCTGCCCATAGATGTCACTGATGCCACAGGCATACGGTGGAATGGGCCTGGAGTAACTCCTACCCCAGTTAACTCTATCACCAGTGGAAAGAAGATTTCCAGTGTCCTAACTTTCAGTGGCATATCAACTTCTCAGGGTGGATTTTATAGATGTAACTTCACTCTTGGTGGATCCATCTCTGTCAATATCACTGTTAGTGTTTTAGGTAGGTGTCTGTAATAAGCAGACAGTAATGTTGCTTATGAGTTTGTCTCTTTATGCCACATTACAGATCAAGTCATCTTCTTGCCTGCTGTTAGACCAGATGTTACTATCATATCTTTATCATGGATCCCAGCATCTGGTGTTCCAGTCACTACCTACAACATCTCCTATTCAAACACTGATAAGAAGTGCTTTGACGACAATAAAGCGATGAGTATTGAAAACCAAACACTCAACGCTACTCTGGAAGAATTAGAAGAGCACACAGAGTATTTGGTGAAAGTTGCAGTTTGGTACGAAGGTCGTGTTGTTGGGAGCAACAGTATCGTGGTTACTACCAAGCCAGTAGGTACGCATTAATATGAGTGTTTTGATGCAACAACTAATTACAGTTTCATTTTCAGCTCCATCTTCCAGTCCCTCATCTGTGAGTGTGGCTGGTGTTACATCATCTGCCATCACTGTGATGTGGAGAAGTGTACCATGTATTCATCAGAATGGAGATATCACTGGCTACTTAGTCCAGTATGGAGTAATGCGGAGTGAGAACAAAGAGACCATGGAAACCAGTGAAACTGAAATTACTCTACTAAGTTTGACACCGGAAACAGACTATGAGATAAGTGTGGCTGCTGTTAACACTGAAGGAATCGGAGTTAGCACAAACACCTCAGCGACAACTTCAGCAGGTAGTTAGCTACATACTGTACGCTATAATGTCTAGAGCTAACGAATTTCTACCAGAGAGAGCTACTAGCATCAGCAATTTAGCAGTGGCAGCGCCCACAAGTGGAGCAGTTATTGGGGTTCTCCTACTAATTTTGCTCGTCACAGTTTTACTCATCGTCTTTGTCAGGTATATTATAGTAATTTTCACTAACAATTTTGACAAGAATAATGTGGAGTGTGTGGAGTACAGTCTATCAATTACTGGCATACACTAGTAGTATTGTCTGAAACATTTTGTGTTGTGAAGCATAAATGAATCACTCTTGTGTCAACATTTCATCTGTGCAGGTACAGGTCAGGAAGTGGTGATATTCACACCTCAACCAACGAGGCATATGGAAATGTGGGGGGAGGACGGAGAGAAGAGGGATATGAGCTGGTGGACATCTCTCGTGGATACCCTCCTCCTCCTCCAGCTAAACTGGAGGAGATGTATGAGGTTCCCTTGTCCTCCGCCCCTCCCCCCAGCCAGCCCCTCCCACCCATCCCTCTCCCTCATACTGATGCTGACACTGAGGAGAAAGACACTGCTGTCTATGATGTCATTCCTGGAGATATGTGACTCTACATTCATGCGCAGTGGCGTGAATTTTGACTGCACTTGTCACAATAGTTTTCTGTAGCTTAGTTCACAACTCTGATCTCAGGCATTTTGTTTTCCAAGAGTTTTTGAAACTCAACTGCCAGATCTCTAGGTGAAATTGCTGACTATTCCATGAGAATAGGGTGTTGCGTAAAGTACAAAGGGCTGAGAGAATTGCTGTGTTAAAACACAATGCATCCCTGAATGTGTTTCAAAAGAGTCTCATTGATAGATACCAGCAGAGACCACAGCAGCTAAGTTCCATGTGCTGAGTTTGCTGCCACATGTGTTGTGAAGTATGAGCATAATGATTGTAATGCCTTACCTGCCCCTGAGAGTGATGTTACATCCACACAAATCACACTCACTGATAATTTTGGCAAAATAAACGAACGAAAGCAACAAGCCGTGATAAGATTCAGAAACAAAGAGACTGACCCTAGCAATTGGTATATAGCCAAACTCATGCTGTGCTATCCTTGGTTTGACGAGCAAGCAGATTTACTAGGCCGATATGCAACCTATGAGGAGCACTATAGACAACAAATACACGAAAGCCGATATAGATGACATAAAGGTTGACGAAGATGGCCCTCCTGAGCATAATTTTGTGGAGTTGCATTGCACCATCCACTGAAGAAAGTAGAATGCAGTCTATGGCTCAACTAACTTAGGTTTCACAACAAGATTTGCAAGATAATGAGAGTATCCTAACATCAGGCCCTAACTTGCATGTAAGATTTGAGAGTGCTGCCAACCAACTACCTGACCAGTACAGAGAGTATATGAGAGGGCTAAATGAGCAGCAGAGATCCATTGTTATGTTCCATCGTGACTGGTGTAAGAAAGCTGTCCAAGCACTGAAAGAGGGCAAGCCAGTGCAACCTTACCATGTGTTCCTTAGTGCCCCGTGTGGCGTTGGCAAGTCACATGTTTATAAAGTTAGTCCATTCTGATACACCGAAATTGCTAAAACTGTCAGGTGCCTTTGAACCAAATGATTTGATTGCATTACTAACTGCCCCTACTGGTGTTGCAGCATTCAATATCAATGGCAGGACATTGCATTCAGCATTCCTACTTGGACGTAGCAAATACAGTTGTTTTCAGCCTCTTAGCCATGACAGACTAAACACGCTACAAACCAAACTGTCACGTTTGATGTTTGTGATTATTGACGAAGTAAGCATGGTTGGTTGCAAAAGACTGCAGATGATGAAGTGTTTGGTGGTGTGAGTATATTAGCTGTGGGAGACTTGTATCAGTTACCACCAGTTTGCCAAGCTCCACTGTTTAGCACTGTGAGTGACTGCTATGGTTCAGGCTCATTGTGGGTTGATCATTTCGTAATGCTTGAACTAACTGAGGTAATGAGGCAAAGAGGTGACATTGCATTCTCAGAGCTATTGTGCAGAGTTAGAACCAACAGTTACACATCTGACGATGTTAGAACTCTAAAATCTCGTGAAATAGCAGCAAATGCAGCAGATCCTACTTGGAAAATTGGAAGACATTAGAGCTGACGGCAACCTTAGATGCGCTAACATCACTGTGCTTTTGTGAGCCTTGGTTGAATGCATCTCAGCTTTCCCCTGTGTTACTGGATGACCAGATTGACATCAGATGTGATAGATCTAGAGTTACATGTGAGAACAAAGGTGGACTTCTGATGTGTGTCCCTAGCCGAACGAATCCCTCCAATATACAGAAGTTTACAGCAAATTCCATTGAAGCAGTCTCGGCTACCATTCATGTTCCAAATATAGGCAGTATTCAAATGGGTGTGGTATACCGGTCACCAAGTGTTCCCCAAACAACATTGACAACTGTAGATAGTCTTGCGAGTTGCCTTATAGATAGCCTTGTGGGTCACATTTAGATTGCCATAAGGTGCAAAGGACATCTGGGCTGATGTGGCACTAAAAATCATACGGAATGCTGTAATATACTGTGTCGTGATCAGAATAGTATGTATCGTGGACTTCAATAATAGTATTGCTAGATGAACTGAAGAATGGGTTCCTATAGTATACATGGTCTATCAGTGTGCCCTGGGCTGTCGTTGGTGACTGGACAAACTGTTTGAAATTGAAATTGGTCATAAGCCTCAAAGTAGGGGAGTTTTGGTTATGTAAAAGGTCATCATTAAAATCTCCAAGTACTAAACAAAGTGTGTTAGCTAAACATAGATTAATGTGTCAACAATCTGGACAGTAGGCAACTCACAAGACTATTTATAAGGCAACTCACAAGTCACAAGGCTCTCTATAAGTCTACAAAAGTCAGTCTATAACCTACAACTTATGTGAGTCTACCCCTGTGGAGCGGAGAACTGGACGCAGGAAAAGAGGGTAAGGGCCTACAACTCCACTACTCCCTGGTACAAGTGCCTTTAATCCAGGTAAGCCAAGTACTTCAACCTTACCCAGATATGTTTTGTCTAAACTATAACTTGCAATTGGCAAATTAATCATAATCAATGACTTTTGAAAGATGATAAGATGGTTCATATTGGAGATTTTGTGATGGTGAAAAGGGGTATTGGATAGGAATAGATGTAATGAGGGTGATATAGTCAGTGATAAAGGAACTAAGATATGTTCTGCAGTTCAGTTTCTCACTTACTCACTTCTTTTATTATGTCTTTGTCCTTTAGCAGGGTCATGGACTTCAAAGTTCCCGATTCTGTTAGTCTCCTCAACTGCAACATCGTCACCACCAGCAATCTGATGAACGGTCTCCCCGTAGGCGAATGCGAACACCGTTCTCTGTTCTCCATCCTCGTCATACAGGAGCATGAGTTTGGCCGTGGTATATATGTGGTGGGCAAAGATCGAACCTTTGCATCATCATGCAGTCCATCTTCGAACATTTGCCGAGACAGTCGGTATGTGGTTCAACTCTAGCCTTGCACTGCAGGCACGATTCGTACGTGTCGAAGTATGCAACTGTGACGTTGTTGATCACCCACAACTCGTCATCTCTGTCTCCTTGCTCAGCCACAGCTTCTATGTCCTCAATTGGGATGATTTCTGAGTCTTCCTTGGCCATCGTGAGGTATTTCGTGCTCTGATACTCTCGGACCATGAAATTCTTCAGGCAGTAACATCAATCTGCATTCACGTTCCCTCCCAGACACTGACTCGACCTGTACCACTTCCGTCTGCAACACAAACATCCAGTTTTACTCTCCCCCCTACTTGTGTTTCGTCCTTTAGTTCCACGACCTTGATGTTCACTGTGACCTTCTGGAACACATCCAAGCTCTCGAGTGACGAAAGTATTACGGTTTTTGATGCTGTTGCGATGTCGGCTATCAACGATGCAACATACAACTTCTTGGGAGATTGCTTGATTAGTGTAGATCTCTTCGGCATCACCTCATACCCCTCACCCTGACGAGCAGGTTAAACCTCGCAATTTTCAAGCTCTACTGGTATGTTCTTTTGATGATAGTCGTTCAACTTTCGTTGCTGCATTCCCTGAAACCCCACCAGTCGAATTTGGGATGTTTCATCTGCCAGCAGACCGTCGAGAACATGGCCTTCCCTCCTTTCTTCACAGGTGACAACGTCACTACTGCACTGTGGACATGGGTCCATTGACGTAATCAATGTTCTCTATCTCGTCGTGACTCCTTTTTTTTTAGCCAACTGGAGTATATACGGACCCGACGCGTAGCGACTTCCGGCCGGCCAAGCCCAGAATCACTCCACGCGATGCGCGCTTACTAATTAAGGCAACGCCCACTCATTCAAGCGCACTCTACGTACAGTGTGCGTTACCGTGCAAAGAGAACTTGCAGAGCAGCCAATGGGGGAACGGGCGGCACATACACAAAGAGAATCAATTCCCGCGCAAAAAAAAGAGCGGCACAGTGAAAGGGGAGAGTGTACTCGCGTTAGCTGCAGTGATTGGTAGAGTGAGAGGTATCGCAGAGCCCACACAAATTTGCAGCCTAGGCAGAGTGCTCTAACCTGAAGTACCAGGGCAGTTAAACTGGCAAGGTTCAAACAATACCATTCTTACAGAACAGGCACAAACTGCCTTGTCATTAGAGACCTTGCTATCATTGTCTCACCATGCAACGCCAAAAACCTACCAGTGGCGGTGATGGTGTAGATTATCTCATAGAGAGGTCTCCCTCCACCATTGTCAGGAGGAGACCTGGAGAGGACGGCTGATGTGTTGGTCACATTTGACACTCTGACATCAGATGGAGGTCCTGGAGACTCTGTAATCAATTATTGCATATAAACATCATACACTACCAAATAAAGGTATTGTGTAAACGCACTGGTTTTCAAAATTATGAGCAACAACATTTTTGAAAACTTGATACTACTATGCAAATATTTTTCCGATTATTATTTAATATTCGTGAGTTCGGGTCCCTATGGGAGCAGAAAAATGCACATAAAAGAGAAGTCGTGGACACATTAATTTTGCCCACACTTGCGCACTTACTTTGCACGGTTCTACAGGGTTAGTAACCACTTATTGGGAGCCAGAAATTCATATCCTGTCATAATATCCAAACAAGTTAACAAGCTAAGCTGTAAATGTGAATCTAGTTTTGCACTCCTCCACCAAGGGAGTTGCTCTACTTGATTGACCACCGTTTCTATGTTTGGCAGCACCACACTGTCAGCAGCAACCATCTGCCACAATGGGATGAGCTGTAGAACGTACAGGTCAAAAATAGTAAATAGTGTTATCATGTGCCCCCCTAATAAGCTCAATTATACATGTCTTACGTGTACAGGGGACGGACGGCCCCTCATAAGGAGCTCTGTAGTAGTCCTGGAGACATGGACAGAGGCTCAGAGCAGTTCCAGTCCCCTCACTGTTAGCTGGACATGTCTCACATGGTCCATTACCCAACCCTGATGAGAAAGTTCCCTCTGGACACTCTGCAAAAGAACATTACATTCAAACAGTTGAAATGAAAAGCACTAAAGTGCAAACCCTCGGCGAACTGGGCACCGCTAATTGATGGGCTGGGCTGCTATTAGTATGTAGTATACTCATGGTCTCCCGCTAGTAGCGTCTGACACGGGCTAGCTACAGTTGTAGATAGCATGTGGGAGTCGATACACGCCCTTAGTTGTGACTTCTCGTGCCTTCAAGATACACAGAGCAAGCGGACCTGAGCCTGTTGAAAATATAAGCGCATGCGCATTTTCCGCAGCGATAAAAATGGCCGACTAGCATTAGCCGTTCAATGGCGGAAGCGCTCTAGCTTTGCAACGAAGCATTTTCAGAGAAAACCGTTCCAAATTTCTGACCTTCATTGCCCGTTAGGTAGGTCGTATCGTTTGCGAGAAGAAAAGACATTCGAGAAGTGAGATTGAGAGTAACAGACAGACAGACAAACCCAACTACAGTACCCTCGCTGCGCATGCGCGCCGAGGGTAATAACCATGTGACATACCTGAGCACATATCGTGACTACTGTTTAGCTGATATCCAGGTTTACAGACGCAAGATTTATTCACCTGCCACTCTCCCCTAGGACCACATATGAGAATAGGATTAGCTCCAGACTCTGTGGAACTGTTCTCTATACACTCTCCCTCCACTGAAAGTGAGCCTTCCAGAGACTGGGATTCAATTGCCTCAGGTCTGGAGATGAGCTCTGATGTCTCCTCTGGACACATATAGTAGAGAACTAGAATTCTTGTGAGAGTAACACAAGTTCTCAAGTCAACAACTCCCAAGTAAACACCACCTGTGGTACCCAATTCAATATCATAAAAGTGAACAAAGGACATTACTCCACTAGTAACATCAGGAGAGACTCGACCAACTCGGACATAATTGTTGGTGTTAGTTGCTCCATTTCTGTCAATGGCTGAAGTCTCCCACTTGTACAGTTCAAAACTCTGCCTGCACTGTCTACTGATATCACATCCATTGAGAGTTCCTTCAAACTGAACAGTCACTTTCCTCAGTCTCTCTACTTTTCCTCCTGGTAGCACTGTGTTGATGTGCTGTGTGATGAGCCAGTTCTCTTGACCTCCCTCACTGAATCCGCACACTGCCACTCTCCCATCACATGTGGCTGTTCCAGTTTGACTCCACTGGAGAGCAATTTCGTAATATTACGTAGTATGTGAATAAATTGTCCTTACCTCAGTTACTAGATCGATAGTATTGTTATTGTCCCTATCCAGGCTTTGCCACGGTACATTAGCGTCGCCACTTTCCTGAAGGAGGCGGTTATAGTCTCTTGAGTCCATGAGAGGTCGTTCATTGACAGAGTACATTGGGCGGTTGGCAAAGAACGGATTTGGGTCTCCATTAACGATCTCCTCAGTACATATCGCTACACCATCTCCTGGAGCTTGGTCCTGGACACAGCCTGCATGACTAGTCAATAGCACTGGCCAGAGCACCACCAAAGTAAAAGTTTTGATCCTCACAGAATACACCATCAGTCACCTCGCTCTACTAATAGTATACGCAACTGCACACTCAGGACTATGGAGTTGCTCTTTGTGTGTCCCAAACTGTGTACATTCAGCATTAGCTCTCAGATGCCTGACATAGCTACCATTCCACCTCCGCTTTTGGGTTCATATTTTTAGTTATGAAGCGGATTCATGATGCAGGCAAAAGCAACTATGTCATAAAGAATGTGTGGTGTCTATAATTCTCTTTTATCCCTCATGCCAATAGCAATGTTTGCCTGGTCAGAGTGACGCATGGCACAACAATTGTTGCATTGCATGTGTACCTAGGGATTTAAGCACACGACACAGCCACATTGTTTTTTTCTGTAGAGCTTTACATAGCCAGTCTTGGATTACCTCAGGAGAACTGCGGGCGAAAGAGACATGTTGGAGGTGTGACAGAGACCACTTGAATTCTATACAAGTGGAAAAATCATTTCTTCAAAATGAATGGGGATATAGGGATGGCCTGAAGCACCATAAAGGAAGAAACAAGGGGTCATTACAAAGCAAAGATGCACAAAGCTACATGACACCATCCCTATATCTTTGTCTCACATTAAACTTTCCCTATAAACAATAAAACAAAGATATAGGGATGGTGTCATGTAGCTTTGTGCATCTTTGCTGTGTAATGACCCCTTGTTTCTTCCTTTTTGGTGCTTCAAGCCATCCCTATATCCCCCTTCATTTTGAAGAAATGATTTTTCCACTTGTTTCCACTATTTTTAACTGCTTATGACAACACTGCATTTTCAGTCACCTGATGTTCATGGGTATGTTGTAGAGATAACTGATGAAAGCAGTAGCTAATGGGCTGCTGCGCCTGAAGCGGGGTGTACGCAGTGTCTCCAACAAGGACGCAATTAGGTTGTGGCACACGGTGGCGATTTCATGGGCAGGCTTCAGTAATCAGATTACGCTATTAGCTACCCGGGGGACAAAGAATGAAGGCTAATTTGTACGCCCGGTAAGGCTCGCGTAACCCGGCGCAGACTGCCACGTGCAAATCAACAGCTAAAAGCAAGCTAGCCAGTTATAAATGTGTATACTGACTTACAGAAGGCGCTGGAGGATGAGAGGTCCTCTGCAGGCATCCTGGCTTTTTCTCGTGGAGCGAGACTATGTAATGCGCGCGCACCGCATTGGAAACGCCCTCCTCGGCGCATGCGGCTCACTGATGCTGAGTTAGCAAATGGCGTTGTTCAGTGACTACCGTGGAGGAGCTCAACGATCTACCGTAGTGACTTGCGGCAAGAAAGAGACGATCGCTTGATGTCCGTGCACACCTCTGGCGAATCTGGAAACGTTTGATGGAAAAATCAGCACTTCAACTATTTTCGGTAACGAGATAGCGGGTTTACTGAAGAGAAGATGAAGAATATGATGATGATGATGATGATGACACGAAAATCGTGAAATCGCGTAAGAACCAATCCTCTCGTGGGGAACTGAGGGCACGTAGGAAGTCTTGGGGAGTATGTATAGCTAGGTATTGGCCTGTAGACTATTGCTAGCGATTTTCAAGCAATGGTGAGTCTTTCTCGCCAAGTTTTGTACGCGGATCACGTGAGATTTCACCCGCGTCATCCCTATATAGAGCGTCTACCGACGCTCTGATAGTACCAATGGTTCTGACCATTGCCCTGGGTGCATGTTCGACTGATGGCCCTATAGAGTTACTGTTTATGTCAGCAAGTGACCTACATGTTATGACAAACTTTTATTACAAAGGATATTTAGCATGTCGTAGCTAGTTTAGGGATGACAATGGTTCTTAGGTATGTGGTGGATGATATACGTTAGAAATTGTAATTACTACACGGAAGATGATATAGTATGATGTCACTGTATACTCTCACTCGGTATTGTAGAACCAACTCCTACATACCTGTGCCATAGCACAGTGGTTTGAGGTTTGCCTTTGTATTATGATTTGAACCTCTACCACCTGAGTTGCCCCAATAGTTGGTGGCTAGCTATATAGTCTGTGTGTTGTTGTTTCCAATCCCACCCAGGGCAGTTTTTTTTCCTTGGAGAAAAAGAGGTGTCCTAGATGTAGTTTGTTTGTGTGCTTTGCCTTTGCCTTAATATACTCATTGTTGACAAAATTGTGGCAGATTACATTGCTTTTCGACCTTACACAGGATGAGAAACACACTGGCTGGTCATTAGAATAAGATCATCTCCAGCATTCGAATAAGAAGAGATCAGTTTCAAAGATAGGTAGCTAGTTGGAGGAGGTTCGGTACAGTTGAACCACCCCGAACTCATGTGAAAGAACTCTACACACCTTCTTGTCTCTGTGATGATGTGGTTCGAGAAGGTTCGATACGCTTGAACCACCCAAACCAGTGCATAAGCACCCTGCACACTTGGAGTCTATTCGTGTCTAGAATTATATGACTTGTGACTCTAGTGAGTATTTAATTCTCATTCTGTATGATGTCGTTCCAGTCCAGGAAGTAGGCCGAGGCGAGGATCTGCACGCGACCGTCCCACAGGACGGTCTTCAGGCCCAGCTCGTAGCGTTCCCACAGCAACGCCAGCGCTTCCTGCGCGCCCCGCGGCGGGTGGAGTGTCCGTTCGGACGAAGCGGATGCCGGCGTCCGCTGGAGCGGGACGCAACAGTCTCTGTCTCTCTGTTCTTGTACTATTTCAGTTATGTATGTGGCTGGTTAAGTGTTAAAATCCCCATATTAATTCTTACAGAGGCTCTGTACACTTGTGTCCGTGGTTGGTTAAGTGTTAACTTCTGGAAAGAGGACAACCTCCCTATAAACTACACAATATGCATTATGTTCCCTCCAATGTTGCATTCGTATAATGTTATAGGTGTAGATGATAACAGGAGCCTGACACACACACTTTCTTGATAGAAACTACACACAAAATTACGTTTGTGAAACAATGCAAGCTGTATAATAATACAAGGTCTTCAAAAACAGTCGTAGTCTAATTAACCAGTTCATACTCTGGGTCTTCGTGTGTGCCACCCTTACACACTGAATATGCTTCATTGGGATACACAGGAACTTGAACTCTCATATTATGTCCGGACACATTGTGCACGCCATATGCTTTGTTGGGCTCCATAATCTCCATCCCATCATCATACATCTGCTGTGATAGTTGACCCGGCATATCTGAAATGTAAGGATATTTCTGCAGCTTTAGCTTTTTAGTTTTTTTCTATACCAGATATGGATGTCTGTTCTCCTTTCTTCATCTTTGACTTTTTCCTGCACATTTGAATGCCCAGATTCAAGCTACCCCAGATTATACAGTTTTAGGGTACATATAAAGTGGGTTACTCAAGACCGGATTGACCATTTTTCATATTTCATCATACATTCTGCCAACCACGGAGGATAGAAGACAAGCAGAAGAATGAAGAGTCAGTACCGAAAAGGTAAGATACAAGGGGTCGTTCCACAGCAAAGACAAGCAAAGCTGTTTAATAATAATTATGTTAGACTCGCAGGTCCCGATTGTTTTAGCGTAGAGTTCCGTACGTTCATAACCCCTCCAGAACGGATACCCCGCTACTCCGTATAACGGACAGTAAAACCAATCCCAAATGCTTTTCAACGTAGAAAAAAAACCCGCGTAACGGACAGTTTGCCGCACCCTCTGCCAGCGAATACTAGTATATAGGCGAATGCATGGCATTTTTGGCGAGCGGGAGCGAGCACACAATGATTGTATCTGCACGAGCCATCCTATTTACAACTTGAACCTTAGAACCACGAAGATTGGAAAGAAGTATAGACAGCGTCGGTCATGTATCGAAAAACGCAGCGAATGTCAGCGAATAGACGAGAGTTTTCTAATCGATACGACAGCTAGGCGGCGTGTAAAAATTTTGAGAATCGGTAATTCCCTATAACGCAAGCGACGCTGATACAGACGAGCCTCTCTCTGCTCAGGAGTCTCACGGGCACGATGTTCTCTTTCCCTCTCTCTTCGACGATGAAGGGCATATTCTTGGGACTGATCATGATTGCGAGAGTATAAGCTTATAATATGCATAATTATACGCACGACAACAGCATGTGAAAATTTTGAAGCGCGTAAAACCCCTCCATAAAGGACACCCCGCTATAATGGACAAAATGTTGTGGCTCTAAGTTGCCTGCCTTAGAGGGGTTCCACTGTATTCTAGTTGTTTAGTTGTGGCACTGACCAGTAGATGTAGGCAACAAGACTGGCCACAATGATAGCGAGGAAGATGATGATGACCACAAGGACAGTAACAGCAATGGCAGTGACTGGTGGGTCAGATTTGGAGTCAGGTGACGGCTCTCTCAGAGATACTGTCACTGGAGATGAGAAATCCCCTCCTCCAACTGACGTCACTGCCTGCACCTGTGAGCATGACACAACACAACCAAGTGTAAACATGACTGATAATGAATATTAGATATGTAAGCACCTAAGCCCTGGCACGGACAGCTTATCCATCAGTCTCTACAACGACAGTGCATGCAGGACACACTGTAAATACATGGAGGGTGCAATTTATAAACTTGATACAAAATTGACTCCTTCTCTCTTGTTGTGTATTGTTCGCAAGCACAAGTTAAAACACCATAACTAAATGTTGACTGTGAGCCAAGGGTTAAACTGGCCTGATAGTACAAGAAAACTGAAATACCCCACGATTTACCCTTACAGTAACATTGTAGTCCATGTTGATCTCTCCGTAGTTGGAGACATCAATAGTCAAGACGTCCAACTCCTTCAATCTGGTGACCAGTTGCCCAGAGTCAGCTGTGGATATGATGACATTGTAGTAGAGAATGACTCCATTGGGAGGAACTGGAGAAGACCAGCTCAGCACTCCATTCTCTCCCACCACAAACTCCATCACTGTCCCTCCAACTGCATGGGGTGTGTAGACAGTAAATGTGTTTATTCATTCACAAAAACAACCCAAGGGAGGTAGAGAATGCAGCCTTATATAGCTTTGGCATCATACTGAACAGTTCAGCAGGTCAAAAGCACAAAACAACATACATATGGTAGCTTGGGAAAAACAAACAACAGAAACGCTAACACACGCTACGAAGAATGCATAACAGCATGAGTACTACCCAATAATTATAGCCAGGAGTATGACCACAATGAGTGGCAATTCAAAAGGGTTTTAACCTTAGTGGTTCAGCATTTATCGTACTGATTGTGATAATAACTGCTGATTTCCTAAGGATGTTCCTAGCTGTGCAATATGCGTAGGAAAGCTTTTAGGCACTTCCTCCACCTATGTGGCTTACAATACACTGACCTCCTTCCTGAGTGGTGGCAGTGGTACTGAGACTCCTGGCATTGATATTGTTGTCCTGAGAGGAGACATCATTCTCAGCAGATACAGAGAATGTGTAGAGGACACCAGGAGTCAGTCCAGTCACAATGGTCTCTGTATCATTCACCTCACTCACCACCACTCTCTCTCCTCCACTTCCTCCACTGTCTAAGTACGAATCATAAGTGAGGTATAAAAATAGAAAAAAATCATCGACCTCCCTTTTTCCAGGAAAAACGGTGGGGTAACTAATTTGCAGCATAGACAGATTGCTCTCTGGATAATCTGAAGTGCCAGGGCACAGTTAAACTGGCATGGTTCATTCTTATAGAACAGGCACAAACTGTCTTGTCATTAGAGATCTTGCTATCATTGTCCTGCCATGCAATACCAAAAATTAAACGTACCAGTAGCAGTGATGATGTAGACTATCTCATAGAGAGGTCTCCCTCCACCATTATCAGGAGCAGACCAGGAGAGGATGGCTGATGTGTTGGTCACATTTGACACTCTGACATCAGATGGAGGTCCTGGAGACTCTGCATGTGAGATACAGACAGATGCCTAATAAGGCATGTTATAGACGTGCAATAATTACCTAAACAATCAACTAACAGCCCAACCCCCCAAGTGCCGACCTTCCTAGGAAATACAAGGATAAGTACGGCTTTTTAACAAAAGTACGTATAATGAAAAGCACTGAAGTCAAGTGCAAACCATTGGCGATCTGCGCATGAGCGATACTGCTAATTGATGGGCTGGGCTTCTAGTATGCGTTTACTCGTGGTCTCCCGCTAGAAGCTTGCAGAGAGTCTGACATGGGCTAGTTACAGTAGTAGATAGCATGCGAGAGTCGATAATATACATGTCATCCGTTGTGATTTCCTGAGCCCCCAAGGTACACAGAGCGAGCGGATCTGGTCGCGGTAGGCTCAGTGCAATTATGCAATTGGCATTTTCGCTTGTTTTCACGGCCTATCCCTCAAACGAAGTCGTTTCAGGAAAATCACACTTTTATTTTCGGGCTCGGGTAGTTACATGAAGCCGTTAGTATTGCAAATAGGCCGCCTCGTAGCCTGTAGTGCTAGAATAAGAGTCGACACACGCACACACACACACACACACACACACAGACAAACAGACTACTGTAACCCTTCATGCGATGGGGTCCGAGAGTTAATTATGAAGATGGTGGAGTTTGATTATATATATTTAGGAAAAAGGGCAGAAGGGTAGAAGACATGTATTCATCAGAATAAGGCAAGTTGTATGCATTTAGACTTGCAATAATTATCCAAACAATCAACTAACAGCCCCCCAAGTGCCGACCCTTCTAGTACAAGGATGAACAGTACTACTAAGTAGCTATATTATGGGGATGGTGAAATTTAGGCAAAAGGGCAAAAGTGTAGAAGAGAAGTCATTCATCAGATGGATGTCCTGCAGACTCTGCAATAGGTGCATGCAATTTGTAAACAACAAACCCTACAATGTCGACTTCATCTAATTTAAATATTTCCAGCCCCTGACAGTCTGGTTTTTGTGTAAACACACTGGTTTTCAATATTAAACTTAATTCTACATCATGTTTTACGTGTACAGGGGACGGACGGCCCCTCATAAGGAGCTCTGTAGTAGTCCTGGAGACATGGACAGAGGCTCAGAGCAGTTCCAGTCCCCTCACTGTTAGCTGGACATGTCTCACATGTGCCATCACCCAGTCCCGATGAGAAGGTTCCTTCTGGACACTCTATAGGAAACATGGAGAATACAAAATGAAAAGGCACCACATCCTGGACACTCTGCATGAAAAAAATCAGGCAATTTAGATAAGTGACGTACCTGAGCACTTATCCTGACTACTGTCTAGCCGATATCCGGGATTACAGAGACATGGTTTTATCACCTGCCACTGTCCCCTAGCACCACATATGAGAATAGGATTAGCCCCAGACTCTGTGGAACTGTTCTCTACACACTCTCCCTCCACTGAAGGTGAGCCTTCCAGAGACTGGGATTCAATTGCCTCAGGTCTGGAGATGAGTTCTGATGTCTCCTCTGGACACACATAGTAGAGAACTAGAATTCTTGTGAGAGTAACACAAGTGGTCAAGTCAACAACTCCCAAGTAAAAACCACCTGTGGTACCCAATTCAATATCATGATAGTCAACAAAGGACATGACTCCAATAGTAACAGCAGGAGAGACTCGACCAACTCTGATGTAATTGCTGGTGTCAGTTGCTCCATTTCTGTCAATGGCTGAAGTCTCCCACTTGTATAGTTCAAAATTCTGCCTGCACTTTCTACCGATATCACATCCATTGAGAGTTCCATTAAACACAACAGTCACTTTCCTCAGTCTCTCTCCTCCTCCTCCTGGTAGCACTGTGTTGATGTGCTGTGTGATGAGCCAGTTCTCTTGAGCTCCAACATCGAACCCACATGCTGTCACTCTCCCAGCACATGTGGCACTTCCAGTTTGGGTCCACTACAGGACACCAGATTCCTTTCAAATTACAATCGCAAGTAGCTAAAACTTACCCGCGTAACATCTTCGATGGTGTTGTTATTATCCCTATCCACACTTTGCCACGGTACATACGCGTCGCTATTTTCCTGAAGTAGGCGGTTATAGTCTCTGGAGTCCATGAGAGGTCGTTCATTGACGGAGTACACTGGGCGGAGGGCAAAGAACGGGTTCGGCACTCCATTAACGATCTCCTCGGTACATATGTCTACACCATCTCCTGGAGCTTGGTCCTGGACACAGCCTGCATGACCGATCAACAGCACCACCACCGCCACAAGACCAGGAACGATTCGTTCAGAAAACACCATCACTGCGCTCTCCTTGCCTGTATAGTATTTGTTGGGCGTCTATGGCCTTCCAGTTCTCAGTGTTGCCAACCCTACCGAATTACCGGGATTTTCCCGATTTTTTAGCTTCTCCTACCGGCTACCGTCCGAGCTAGGTTTTCCCCCTCTCTTTTTTACCGCCGCCGCGCCCGTATGGACAGCGCCCCCACATTACTCTTGCGCACGCGCGTGACACGTGAGTTCAGCATACGAGACGCTGTCCTGCTGACTGGGCAGGGAGCCTATATGAGCATTCCAGCGGTGATAATGGACAGGCAGCCATCTTTATCATCGTCCTCTCGTGGTTTCTGCTTTGTATAAGTCACTCTCAAATTATTTCTAGCTAACTGTGTAGGTATCATGTGTTTTCTGTTGTTGTAAAATTAAATTCTCCCTTTTTTTTACTTGCATGGGGTTGGCAACCCTGAGTTCTTCCTGCGTGGCCCACGGCTCTGATACCACAACACACCGGTAACAGGAGCAATCACGACGCGCATGCGCAAAAGTGGAAGAGAGGGTAAAGCAGATGTTTACAGTACGGTAGTACTTAGTACTAGTAGGCGAATGCATGGCATTTTTGGCGAGCGGAAGCGAGCTTACAAATGGGGTCTAATCGTATGGGTCACTCTTGTGTGTGCACAAAACAGTGAGATACATACAGGTCTGGAGATGAGTTCTGATGTCTCCTCTGGACACACATAGTAGAGAACTAGAATTCTTGTGAGAGTAACACAAGTGGTCAAGTCAACAACTCCCAAGTAAAAACCACCTGTGGTACCCAATTCATATATCATGAGAGTCAACAAAGGACATGACTCCACTAGTAACATCAGGAGAGACTCGACCAACTCTGACATAATTGTTGGTGTTAGTTGCTCCATTTCTGTCGATGGCTGAAGTCTCCCACTTGTATAGTTCAAAACTCTGTCTGCACTGTCTACTGATATCACATCCATTGAGAGTTCCCTCAAACTGAACAGTCACTTTCCTCAGTCTCTCTCCTCCTCCTCCTGGTAGCACTGTGTTGATGTGCTGTGTGATGAGCCAGTTCTCTTGAGCTCCCTCACTGAATCCACACACTGTCACTGTCCCAGCACATGTGGCTGATCCAGTTTGAGTCCACTGGAGAGCAATTAAATAAATAATGTTGAGTATTGTCCATGGGTCCCTTACCTCAGTTACCGGATGGATAGTATTGTTATTGTCCCTATCCAGGCTTTGCCATGGTACATAAGCGTCGCCACTTGCCTGAAGCAGGCGGTTATAGTCTCTGGAGTCCATGAGAGGTCGTTCATTGGCAGAGTACATTGGGCGGTTAGCAAAGAACGGATTGGGCTCTCCATTAACGATCTCCTCAGTACATATCGCTACACCATCTCCTGGAGCTTGGTCCTGGACACAGCCTGCATGACCAGCCAATAGCAGCGGCCAGAGCACGACCAAATTAAAAGGTGCGATCGTCACAGAATCCATCAATCACCTCGCTCTACTAACAGTATACGCAACTGCACACTCAACTGCACACTCAGGATCATTGAGTTGCTCTTTGTGTGTAATGTCCCAATTTGTGTACATTCAGCATTAGCTCTCAGATGCCTGCACATACTCTTCCCTCCTCCGTTATTGGGTTTATTATTTTTAGTTATGGAGCGGACTGACGATGCAGGCAAAAACAACTTTGCCATAAAGAATGTGTGGTGCAGTGTCTACAATTCTCTATTAAATCTAGGTTAGATGCCGAGTCCAGGAAACGACGCGCATTAGAGAGCCGCGGGGGCCCTGAGCTGTCGGCGTTCGAGCGCAGCGAGGACGCTACTAAAGGGCCCCCAAGGCGCTCTAATGCGCGTAGCTAGTTGATGAAGCGACTAACCGCCATGGTAACGCAAACCAAACGCGCGTTGGAGAAATGGCGACAGGCTTCGATATCTTCGGAGAGACTGTCCGCGACTGGCTTGAAGTAACAGACAACGATGAGGCTGAGCCCGAGTCTCTTGTCTTGGCAGCGAGCGACGACTCCCAAGACCCCGCCCAACAGCCAAATGCGCGTGCGCAACAAATCAACACTGCCAGCCACTCCCACTCTCCCGCTTTGCTCCTGCGCGCGTTAAATTACGTAATGAGTGGCACGCGGCGCCTTTATAATAAGGGAGCGGGGTCGCACGCTTTCCCGGATTGTCCTCCGGAAAAGTTGGATGCCGAAAAAAGACCGTGCCCAAATAAAAAGACCATAACCAAATTAAAAGCCACACCTGAATGAAAAGACCATACCCAAATAAAAAAGACAATGACCCAAATGGAGAGACTGTACCCAAATTTATAGACCACTGCATAATTTGACACCCCATAAAAAGCACAGCAAATCGTTTTTGGCTTCCACAAACACTATAAAGGATCATTCTAGACACATCTGACATGTGTTCACATGGCTCCCGAAATACACCATCACAGCTGCACTTGTCCATAAGCAGTATTGTGAGAAGTGGGAATGTTGTCCTTTATATGCTTCATTGGAGGTGAGGTGAATGTCTTGTGAACCCTTGACCTCTCCCACCTCCTCATAGGTGACTGATGGAGGGTGGGAGGGGGAGAGTAGGAGGTGGGGCCAGACAACCTGCCCTCACTCTCTGTATGAGGTACAGTCCCACCACTCCCAGAAGAACTCCAATAGTTAGAAACACAACACTGCACACAACACCAACAATGACTACTGCAGTTTCATCATCCTCGATTATTCCAGATTCAGTCTCATACTCTGAATAAAAAGGTCCAACATAATATTAAATTACCTTTGGTTTTCTCCTCAACACATTGAGGTGTGGTAGCATTTTAACTCATTTCGTTACTGATTATCAGCTCAAGAGCTGTTCTGGCAGAGCAAAATGTATAAAGGTTGCACTAGTAAATTCAGCCACCCAACTATTACGTAGAGTATGAGTGTATGTAAGTCACTTCGGGCATGCCTCCATGTTACACATGCTAATTGGCAGGGTCAGTGAGCCGCCTTATCTGGCTAATTATGACCGGAACGGGTCATTCTGCTGAACATATCACCCAGACAAGGCAGCAGCCAGAACATTATATTGCAGCCATTCTTTCTATTCTCTATGGCTAGTATGCTATAAATGTACTTTTCATGTCTTTCGTAGTTCATGGTCTAGTCTAATTCCTAGCCCTGTCCACACTTCATTATCCACGATTTATATGAAGTAAGAACCTATATTTATTACAATATATTTCTGATGTGTTGCAGGTTTGAAAACATGTTCAATAAATCTCGTAGAAATTGATTCCCATCTAGTTTACTGAGTGCCTGCAGCGCTGTTGTTTCGCACTCGGAACACTACAATTCAAGGGCCCTCAAGTTTATAATGCAGATATTATTGTACATTAGATTTCTGTCTAACTAGTGTGTATATAAGTGCACAAACCTTGGCAGGAATCTCCAGAAGAAGGTCTAGAGAATCCATCGATACAAGCTGGAAGAGATATTGCATATAATAGATGAGATAACCAATACAGCAGCTTTTAAGCTACGGCCTACATGATTCAACTCTGTCGTGTGAGACTTAAACACATGCCACTTCAAATGTATGGGGGCACGCAACATGTGGAACACTATTATCATACCCATACAGTTGCATCTCACACAACAAGATTGTATCGTGTATCATGGCACTTATCAATTCATAGAATGCACACACATACATATGTACATGTATATAATATGCTTACAGACCTGTACATCCTCTGTCTGGGTCACTGGTGGAAGTGGAACCGTTCACAGGAGTCGCTGCATTAGTCCCACACTCACAGACACCTGGAGGACTGGAGAGCTCTCTGCCACTGAAGTCAGGACACATGACACAGTCTCCTTCGTGTAGTAACATGTCCTTTGGACAGTCTGCAGGTTGAAAAAAAGATAGCTGAATGCTATACACACCAGTTCAGGGAAACCCATAAAATGTAAGGTTGAAAAAAATACAGTTGATTGTTGTACCATGGATTGTTTTAGGGAAAACAATAAAATATAAGGTTGAAAAATATATAGTTGTTTGTTATACATCATTTCAACTTAATCCATGGATTGTTTTAGAGAAAGCAAAAAGATCTAAGGTTGAAAAAATTGTTCAGTGCTGCACACCATATCCATTGGCAAAACATAAATTCTATAAGGTTGCAAAAATATTTTGCCCAGCCCACCATCACAGACATCTACGGACGCAGTGCTATGCGAACTATACGCTGCCCTTTGAGAAACGTGGTTCGGTGGTAGATTCATGGGTAAGGGGAGGAACTAGAGCTGTTCCCAGCCAATGCTCTGGACCACCTGTCAGCTTCAGTGCGGGTCCGGGATTCGAACCGGGCACCAATGCTGTGAGTCCCCACGTCCCTAACCACTTAGCCACTTGGGCTGGCCACGAGAGCTGATGAAAAAACATTTCTCTTATATCTACACGCATATTACATCATTATAAAAATGACCTAGACGGGGATCAAACCGTAGACCTCACGATCCGCTGTATGTCTTTATCCACCAGACCACACCCAATACTTGATGGAGAAGTCTTACACTGTACATATAACAACTAAGGTGGAAACCTTCAGTGTACAGCTAATTGGGTTGGGTTGCAGTATTGTCTCTCGTAGCACTCTGACACAGGCTAGCTACACTGCTACATACCATGCACCTGCTGGAGTTAACACTTAACCAGCCACGGACACACACGGACACATGTGTCCAGAGCCTCAATAATGTCCATACGAATTTATTGAGGGTTATGTAATACTAGGCACTAAAACTTATCACATAAATTCCTGCTTATTGAGAAAGATATTCATGGCGTCCAAAGGGTCAGTAATCGCCCAGCGTTGCAACTTATGGTGTATCAAAACGTATGCAAATCAAGCAAATCTGTACGAGGTAACCTGTGCTAACAAGACTCGGTGTGACAACAAGACTCGGTGACTTACTGTTACAAGGACCATCGTAGGTGGAGATACTCCCATCACTGGTGACCAGAGCTGAGTTACAGGTGCAGGAACCCTCAGGATCATCAATGTTTCTACTACTGCCTTCTGGACATGGCTGACACTCCCCCCCTACCCTGAAATAACTGGTGTTGCACACTGCCGCATGTGGAGACAGAGAGAGGAAGAAAGAAGAAGAAGAAGTGAGTTATAAATTAATATAGAACCACCTTAAAAATCTTACCCTAAAATATATACATAGCTGCATGGTGTGGTATATGGCGTGTGGAGGGAAGGAAGAAGGTATATACAATATAGAGAAAATGGGAAGAGCTTTTATAGCAAAGTTGTAAGTGGGGAAATACAGAGCCACCTTTAAACTACACTGCCTGCCTCCAACCCCTCAAAATGGGTCTGTGAAACACAAGAAATTATTGAGAGAGAAAAACCAAACTCACAGTTGCAAGGTTCAGTTGGGCTTTTGAAGGATTCTCTGTAGTAACCAGTTGCACACACTGAATGAAAAGAAATATGCGAGTTGTGAACAGGAACATATGAATTTATGGCGAGCAAACACAATTACAGAGTTACAGTTGCTCAGCATACAAATATTCTTATGCATGAAACACCTGCACATTCAGACGACTAGTAGGTCGACCCATTTAACTCTCCAAACACACACAATTGGTGAATTTTTCTTGACACAACTTCTCACGTACTTGAGCAGATGGTGGTGGTGGTGGTAGGACTCGATTCATCGTTGACAAGGTTCCCGTTGCAGGTACAGGATATCATGTCATCTCCAACCTCTCGAGCACTTCCTGATGGACACGGATCACACGCACCTCCCGACTTGAGGAAGTTTTCAGCACATTCTAGTGAGGAGCCAAGAATAGATAGAGAAACGGTGAAAGCATATCGACTCACTCTCTACTCCAGCACCTGAACCTCCCAGAATGTGAAAAGTGACTTAAATTTAAAAAAATTTGTTATAAACTATCCCAACAAGTTTTATTATGGCTCGCACGTACAATATTGCATAATGGCTATGTTGTACATACATACGTACATCATACACATTCTCGTTAGACCGACGAGTCAGGAATGGGAGTAGCTAAGTAGACAAGGGAAAATGTTTTTTTTTAATCAACTATGGCTCTTACATAATGTGTACACACATCACAAGTTTGTGAAATGCTACACATGTAACATGCCTAATAGAGACTAAACACATTTTCAAGCAAGAATTAACAATGAATTTTTACGATGTTTAGGAAATGGTGTAGCTCTTACGGCCACATGATGGTCCAGTGTAGCCAGGTGTACACCCGCAACCAGTCCTGTCAGAGTTAGGGACTTGGCCATTGGTACACATCTCACACTGTTCGTTTCCCACTGTCGCCTTGAACAAACCAGCACCACACGCTGCAGAATGCGTGTATGTATTGCAGGAAGTTGTGGGAGAGATGCAAGAAAAAATTAGAGATAAAAAGAGGATTAGGGAGTTGTCAGTCTCCATAAGAACATACACCAGTGTGTCAACTGGTAGCTCTTAGCACAAACAGATTTTGCACTATAATGTACTCCACTATATATACATCTCGAAAGCATGCGGTTAACCACTCTTGTAAGCTCTTTCCACGAAATATAGCTAGTACACACATAGGGACAAGGTATATGTATTACAGTTAGTAACGGTATGTGTTGTGATCACTAAAATCTACGAAGATAGCTAATTTGTGTAGCTACATATGTACTACATACGGATACTGAAAATAACACTGTTTTGGTACCAAAAGATTTGTTGTTTGATACTGTTACAGAGGATGCACCAGCTGTGGTTGTAATGTTGGTGCCCATTAACAGCAATGATGCCAACAGATAAGGGGAGAAAAGGAGACGTGTATAACCTCCAAACAAAAACTGGAGGAATTAATTACTCCTTACTCAATTGAAGAAAAAAAGCACTGAAGTGCAAACCCTCGGCGATAATGCGCATGCGCGGTAGATTAGTATGCCGACAGTATAATATAGCCGCAGAGAGTCTGACACGGGCTAGCCTACAGTGTAGATTAGCAATGGAGAGTCGATACACGCCCTTCGTTGGACTTATTGGCTTCAAAATACACAGAGCAAGCAGACGGGCCCTGTGCTAAATATAACGCAAGCGATAAAAATGGCCGACTACGCATTAGCCGTACACTGGTGGAGCGCTCTAGCTTTGCAACGGAGCGTTTTCAGAGAAACCGTTCCGATATTTCTGACATTCATTGCCCCCGTTCGGTAGGTGTGGTATCCTTTGTGATGAGAGAACGAAGATGAAGAGTAAAGGACCACACAGACAGACCCAACTACTGTAACCCTCGATGCGCATGGCGCGCCGGGGTTAATAACTGAGTGTTGAGTTGCCGTGGACGGGGGGATACAGCAACACAAGAATCCTAGGTTAACACGTGCAACAGATATGCCAGTGACCACCATAAATTTATCATATGGAACCTCCCTCTCCTCCCCCTTCCCTCTCCCACATCATTACCTTTTCGCTAATACAGTACATACATTGTGGTAGAATCATCCTACACATGGCAGTAATCAGAGAAATATAGAAAAGCCAGCTTCTTCAGGTGTCAATAACCCAAGACGTGACGGAAAAACAGGTACACAAGAAACTCCAAGATGAAAGTGTTTCCCCCCACTCCTTTCTATAAGATGACTACAGTGGAACCCCGTCGCAAGGGACACCTGATGGGTGAAATGAGCAAACCTCCTTAATCTGGAAAGCTTTTTTTCATAACAACAATTCTTGCATGTATAGCTACATCCTAAACAGGCTGAAAGTGAAATGAGGACAACACTTAGGAGGACACCTTTTACAAACTTCTCTTTCATGGTAGTACATAACACAGCTCCTGAAAACTTATCACTCCCTCTATCCTTTAACGACAAAGTACAGCAGTATGGCAGATGGGCATGGCAAGACGAAATCATAGCACTGTATGTGGCTATGATCATACTGACCTTCACAAGCAGTCCGACCATCGTGTTAGAGTGAACCCAGGCGCAAGCAATACACGGAGCTGAATCACCACAACAGTTGCATCACACATGAATCACCAGAGCAGCCCGCTCTCGCTGTGTACCGTCCGACTGTGCATTAGCACAACATCTCACTGAGTCAACAGGACCTATGCCCGGGTCGGTCTGCTGAGAGTTTGCCAGTAGGAAATACGGTGGCGGGCCACCTGGTACTGACTAGATCCTGTGAGCGTCAATAGTCACAGCACCGCGTCGCTGATCGATGAGGTGTCAAACGTAACACATGTCATTCAACTCTAGTAAAATCTGCCCGTTCAGTGTAGATCATAGTTAGTGCTGGACGTCGCAAAAAGTAATATTCACCAGTCTCCGAGGTGGATAGTTAGAGTCCTAACAAAACATGCATTCTCAGGAGCGAGGCTGGACACAGTCTGCACACAAGCGACGTATCGACATGGACGGCGATCGTTTGTCCGGGGAAAGGAAAGACTGCTGACAGTGATGTATTCGCAATTGGGAGTTACTACGGCCACCACTGAAATTGCTGCAGATAATCAAGGAAGTTATCGACAGACTCCATTATAGATCCACACCACCCAACCTGCAACGGAACCGAACATACACGTACACTGTTTAGATCTCCTACACCGTCACGAAAAGTGACACGAATACATGTAAAAAAGTGCATGCGATGCATGGCGCGTAACATTGCGTCACTGTAGTCGTACCAGTCTTTCATCACATGCAAGAAAAATTGACAGGCAAAATGAAGTTGATTAAAAAATTCGCACACTTTTCTTGTATTATAATTGGAGAAAAAAGGCTCTCAGAGTTCAGAAAAACTTGGTACGGTTTGCAACTTACGTACAATAAAAGCAATGGTGTGTTCTATAGCTTGTTAACTCACTCGACCCACAGTACTTGTGTCCGAGCTACTGTCATAGGCATCAAGGAAGGCAAAGGTGTCTTGTCGTTCCGGAAGACTGGCAACAGCAGTGTTACATGCAGGGTTGAAATCCCCTGGAGAGACGCTGCCTCCAGCACTCGTGATGTGAGGGAGGGAGAGGAGTGAGAGGAGAAGGGGTAGGAAGAGGGGGATGGAAGAGGACGTTGGACGATGCATCACCTGTATAATATTTGGCGGGAGGAAGTAAGCAGGACACTCGGCATGCTCTGTACTAGAGTGAAGGTTGCCATGTATGTAAATAATAGTGTGTGTTGTACATAAAATTATATAATTCATACTCTGAGTTAGTTTCTCTCACTATAATATTTCCCAAACAACCAATTTATGGTTTAAAAAACTTGGAAATGACATGATCGTTACTACCCTAGCTACTCAGCATTTCAGTAGGAGCATGCATGGATTGTGCCAAACTGGAACGTTATAATTGAGATTTGACATATGGCAGTTCCAAATTAGTCAATGTATAATTGTCCACTAATACGTCCACACCATTATAGCCTAGCCTGTACAACAGCTAGGATAATTGTCATACTAATTCGTACTGGAAAAACTCTTACCTTCAATATGCAAAAGCCATCGTTGTTGATATTATCCTTATTGCTCTATGCAAAAACACATCCGTTATCTCTGAGATATTTGTGATAAATATGTCAACTTTATCCATTTATGTACGAAAACACTGCACACACTGTACAGTACTAGCAGCAAAAATTGTAACCTGAGAATCAACTCAAACTGCAAATATTCAGCAAAAATGAAGTTTTCATAACACACACATGCAGCAGCCAGAAAAGCCACTAGTTTGCTGATTCCATGCAGTCATAGCCAATCCATTGAAACTGTGCTCAACAAAACCCAAGAAACGGTGCCTTTATCAATGTTTTATCCCATATCATTTTTTTTTAAAAGGGAATTGAAATGCAAACTGAGCATGCTATAATAGGGGTTAAAGGCACAATCTTCCCATCTGTAAGCTAACACTTATGTAGCTATATTATACCTTCTTACAAGCGGGAAGAAAAAAGGTGGTAAGAAAAGGCTTTCCCCTGTAAAAGGCATCTTAGGTATTAGCTACATTCTGCCATGGAGCTTGCTATAGCTAACAACTGCAGTAACACTTACAAAGAGATTCATTACAATGGGAGCACCCTTAAATGCCCCTGCAATACAATACCAAAACTACGGGGTGTGAACTATATAGCTAGCACTGACACTGCTGGATAACTTTATCGCTTGCAACATGGCTACCCACCCGATACATTTTGCAAGTGTGAACCAAGGAACGCGCCCAGGCTAGGGAGATCAAGAGGACGTGCATACAAAACCTCCGTGAGTTACGGATCTTTATGCATACTGACACACAACATTGATTCTGTAAAGTACCTAGCTACCTGCCTTTATGCATCACCATTACCCGTTATTATTATTTTGTAAACTCTGTCCTACATTCAGATAGAACATTCACACGCATCCCATCATAACCTTACACCATCAAAGCAAACCATAACTCTGCCACACTTGACATCCTGAAACTAGTTCGAGCATGTACTCAGAGAAATATTCATGTGTATCTACTCATCCAGTTTTGAGCTATATTGTAACACAGTGCCAAAATAAATGCGGGTAACTCCGAGGACATGGGGCGCCCCTCGAAATTTTTCGCTGCGAAAAAAAACGCGAGGAAGATTATTTAGCACTTTGGTGGGTAGTAATCAAGTGAAATATCTTTCTCTTGTTTCTGAATAGCGAGTTATGTCCGTGTATTACCCCGTGTCCGAAGTTACCCCCATTTACCTTACCTCAAGTAAGAGCCCTGCGATAGAGACGCTCAACCCGTGAGAGAGGTCCGCTCTGTCATCGAGCGTATCTTTCTGCATAAGGACTGCTTTAAATAGAGTAAAGCACCGCCTACTGATTGGTGTAAGTAAATCCACGTGTTGCCGGTCACTCAAAGTCAACAAGTGAGACTATAAGGCTATTTTTATCTAAAAGTTTGGCTGCAATGCTCCACAGTTGCTTTATCTTCAGTATCATCCAGACAAACAGAGAGAAGTTGTGGTATGCTCTGCTGATGAGGGCCAACAAGCCCGAAACAGCTGTCCAGAGCTCCGCATCTTTTTTCTCTTGGCATCACATGGTGTATTTATTCATGTGTATGGATATGGGTGCTTGCTGGCTTCATTGCCGCGGCCCAGTGGGGATGAATCTCAATTTTCCTCTTGGCATCACATGGTGTATTTATGGTAGATTATGACGGCGCGGGAGCTGGGAGCATGCGCTGTCTCGGCTGCGGAGGCGGACGTGCATTTGGGATGACCAACCGTGTGGTCGCCATTGCAGCCAGGTCCAGCCGTTGGCGTAAGATCGGGCTCTCGTGCCGTTCTTTTATTTAACAGTACTATAGTCTGACAAGAGGGGATTGTTCCCAACACTCCTTCTCACTCGAAGTCTGACTGTTCTTTTACTCCTGACATGCCACGAAGCCGTAAAAATTTGTCGTAGGTTGGTCCTTTTGTCAGGATGTCGGCTATCATCTCACTTGTTGGACAGTATTTTAGCTCAATATTGCTGTCCAGAACTTCTCTCGAACATTAATACCAATGTGTTTGGTCTTGCTGTGATACTGAGCATTTTTTGCAATGCAAATAGTTGACTGGTTGTCTTCAAGAATGACAGTTGGCTCAAATTGACCATTGTGAAGATCTTCCAATATATAGTTGTCTCATCCAGGTAGCTTCTTGGACGGCACCAGCCAGTTCAACATATTCGACTTCTGCCGTAGAGAGAGCAACACACGTTTGTTTACGACTCTTCCAGCTTACTGCTGTACCACTCACCTTTTAAAGATAACCAGAGGTTGCTTTACGGTCATTCACGTCACCAGCCCAGTCGGCATCTGAATATCAGATCAATGTACCATTATTGTCTTTCCTTGAGTATGAGAGACCATAGTTAGATGTTCCCTTCAGGTATCTGATGATACATTTGACTGCGGTCCAGTGTTCCTTAGTAGGACTGGAACAAATCTGGAAACATTGCTATATAACTGCAATTGCGATATCTGGTCTAGTCCATCCAGATAGGTGTAATAGACTACCAACTGCAGACTGAGATAGTGTTGCATCAACAACTTCAGACTGTTCAGTAGCTTTTAGCAGTTTTGTTCCTACAGTTACTGGGGTGTTAGCTGATTTGCAGTGCTCCATTCCGAATTTCTTGACAACAGCTTGGGTATATGCTAGCTGACCAATCCACATCCCTTCTGTACACTTACTCCAAGGAAATAGTGGAGCTCACCCATATCCTTGAGTTGAAATCGCTTTCCGAGATCAGCCTTAACTTGTGCTGAGACTTCCCTGCTAACAGAATGTCGTCTACATACACGGCCAAAATGAACAGACCATCTGATTCTGTTGTGGAGGTGTAGATACAGGTATCACTTGTACTCTGTTTAAAACCCATCAGCTTAATTGTGCATCTAGTGCTTGAATCCAGCATCTGGGCGATTGTTTAAGGCCATATATACTCTTTTTGAGTCGACAAACTAAATGTTCCTGACCCTCTGCTAGAAAACCCTCGGGTTGCTTCATGTAAACTTCCTCCTCTAAACCACCATTGAGAAAAGCAGTGGTGATGTCCATCTGGTGCAATTTTAAACCATTCTTTGATGCAAGGGCAATCACGGAGCGAATAGACTCTGATCGTACAACTGGACTGAAGGTTTCATCATAATCGAGTCCTTCTTTTTGAGAACACCCCCGGGCGACGAGACGGGCTTTACATCTGTCGATTGAGCCTCGATAGAGCCTCGATAGAGCCATCAGCATTCATCTTCACTTTATAAACCCACTTGCTCCCTACAGACTTTCGACCTTCTGGTAACTGTACAAGTTCCCAGATGCTGTATCATGGAGGGAGTCGAATTCTGCTTTCATGGCATCAAAACATTCTTGATTGGTAAGAGCATCACTAATAGACTTTGGCTCCCTGACATCCGACATGTTACATCGGAAACCATAGAAGTCAGTCTGTCTCCTCTCACGTTCAGATCATCTTACTGCAGGTGCGGATGGCCGAACTTCCTCAGAGGGTTCATTTGAATATTCGAGGTACACAAGTGTTGTGTCTGCTTCTGAGAGGGATTCTCGAAACCACACTTCTGCTCATTGAAAATCACATCTCTGTTGTGGAACACCTTTCTTTTCAGTGGATCATATAATCGACACCCTTTGAGGGTTGTTCCGTATCCTAGGAGAACACACTTCCTAGACTTTGACTCCAGCTTCTTTCTTTCGTCCTTGGGTATGTGTACGAAGGCTTGGCACCCGAAAACTCGAAGTCCATCAACTCACTGTTTTTCTCCTGTCCAGGCTTCACGAGGAATCATCCCACAGACTGCTTTCGTAGGACTTCTGTTGCGCCGGTAAGTGGCAGTGGACAAGGCTTTAGCCCAAAATATGTGTGGCAAATTTGCATGGATGAGCATCGACCTGGCAGTTTCTACGAGCGTTCAATTCATTAGTAGTGCCACACCATTCTGCTCTGGGGTTTTAGTTCGTGGCGTACTCCTTCTCTTGTCAGGTGTGCTTCAAACTCCTTGGAGGTTAACTCTCCACCATTATCTGTGCGAATTGCCTTAAGCTTTCTCCCAATAGATTTTTCGACCATGGACTTCCATTCATGGAATTTCTCAAATGCTTGATTTTTCGACTTCAGAAAATATACCCATACATATCGACTCTTATCATCAACAAACGACAAAAAATACTCAGCGCCATCCAACGATTTTTCGTTCATTTTCCCACACAAATCGCTATGCACGAGATCGAGAGGCTCCTCTGCCCTTCGACTGCTTGAATAAAACTTGGTACGACGCTGTTTGCTTTGAGGGCAGGATTCATAGAAGGTAAGCTTCCCGGTTGTGTCAAAATCGAAACCATCTGCCAGCTGTTCACGCGCGAGCTTCTGGAGGCTACCTTTCCCAGATGCCCAAAGCGCTTGTGCCAAACATCCTCCTTTGTGTCAGATTTCTCAGCAAAGCTAGCTCGTTCGTGGTTAGGCTTGTGGTTGAGCTGATGGAGGCTTCCTATTATATCTTAGTAACCATCTTATGCTCTTTGTTTAGAATATAGCAAGCTGACCTAGTGAACTTAACTATCTTGCCCCTCTGCAAGGCCCTTGCTTCACTGAGGAGATTATATGAGAGCTTGGGTACTAAAGGACATCACGCAGCATAAACGACCTCGACTCACCATTGTGTAAGATCATGTCTAACACCACTTAACCTCTTCCGACCGCCGTGAGTGCTCGTCCGTCTCCCAACACCACATAGATGGGATGTTGTAACTGGTAGAGAGTGGTGAACAACATGCTGTCCTGGCACATGTGACATGTGGCTCCCGAGTCGACGATCCAGGCACACTGTTCATTCGAGCTTGATACGGACATTGCGTGACTAGCAATGAGTCCAGAGCTCTCGCTATCCGAGCTCTCCTGTGTGGTTGTTGCCTTCTGAGATTTGGTTTTTCTCTCCTTCTGACCCTCCTTCTCGGTTTTCGTCTTTCTCTCCTTCTAAGCTTTATGGGCTTTGCAGTATCTCTTGATGTGCCCCAGTTTCCCTGGTTTCCATGGTTCCGTGGGTTTCTCTGGTTTCCATGGTTTCATGGGTTTCCCTGGTTTTACTGGTACAGTGGGTTTCCATGGTTTCCATGGTTTCGTGGGTTTCACTGGTTTCATGGGTTTCCCTGGTTTCCATGGTTTCATGTGTTTCCCTGGGTTCCATGGGTTTCCCTGGTTTCCATGGTTCCATGGGTTCCCTTAGTTTCCCTTGGTTTACATGTTTTCATGGGTTTCCCTGGTTTTACTGTTTCCATGGTTCCATGGGTTTCCCTGGTTTCATGGTTCATACGGGTTTCCCTGGTTTCCATGACTCGGGGAAAAAAGGACAGCAGACACACCTCCCCCGGAGAAACAAAAATTGAACGATTTTTGTAGGAAATGGGAAGTGATGTCTGATTTGGACGGGAAACGAATATGGAAATCTGCCGCTAGTGATGAAGTAGAAAACCTGCAGTCGCATGTGAGTGAGGGCTGTCTTTCTGCTATTCAACCAGGACAAGGAACAAACCACAATGAGTGTTTTCACCGCTGTCCTAATACATTTTTCAAAATCAGCATTCTCCTGTCATACGCTTTAATGACTGTAATAAATGTTAATCATCATTCGCAAACAGTTTGTAGCGGGAAAAGAGTTGCTTACCTTTTCACTACAAATCCATGTCAGGATATTCATGCGACAGATGCATGTTGACAGCATAAGCGAGTTTCATGAGAGGATTCCAAGTCAATACTGTAAGTATAGTCGAGCTGACGCAGTTACGCGCATTGTCACATAAAAAGGGGTAAAACGGCAGCTGAGCTAAACTTCGCAGCAGGCTAAAAATGGCGTCGGCAAACTTCATGGTGCGACAGATTTGTTCTGTGGAAGAGATGGCTGCAGTGTTCGTCCCAAGAGCGGTTGAACTTGGGTGGAAGCCCGGAGCCATAGATCATGTGAGCTTCTTTTCAACTGACGAGTCAGGATTTTATGCGGGAGAATTGGACGGAAAAATAATTAGCTGTCTTTCTGTCGTGAAATATTGCAAAGATTACGCTTTCGTTGGCCTATACAGTGTAGACGAACCGCACCGCGGAAAGGGGTATGGGCTAGCTACTTGGAAATTCTCATTTTGCTCCGTACCTGAGGGTTGTAATTGTGCGCTGGACACAACAGACGAAATGGTACCCATGTACGGGCGTCAAAAGTTCTAACCTGAATGGAGACTCCAGCGCACCACATTCAAAGTAACCCAAGAATTGGTAGAGCGTTTCGTCCCAAACACAGCGGGAGTTATCAAACCAGCTACAGAAGTTGTGTTGTTAGATTACGACACATCTGTTCATGTTTATCCACGTAGATCGTTTTTAGAAAGGTGGATTTCAGCCCCAAATTGCCACAGCTACGCAGCAGTAAGTGAGGATGGAGGAGTGAAGGGGTATGGCGTTGTCCATACTGCATTCAAACAAGAAGATGGCTGGAGAATTGGCCCAATTTTTGCTAATGATTCCAAGATTGCCAGAAATCTCTATCGCCTAATGCATCAATAGCTGTTGATGTACCACATGGGAGTGGTTGTAATCCAGAGGCCCTCGACATTGCGATGGTGGAGCTCTCTGGGGAGACTGAAGTGAAGCTCGTTCGTTTGTATACAAAGGGAGTTCCTCCCAAAATGCCCCTGCAGAAAATATTTGGAGTAACATCCACTGAACTAGGTTGAGTTTTTACTGTAATGGACTATTACTGCGAGTAAATTTATGTTCATCATGGTGCTTTTGCATATGAAAGTACTCTTATCGAATCTATTCTCCCTAGATTGGAATTTTAAAGTGAAGTACAAAGCTATTAATGTGATTGGCTAAACATTCCCTTGCTTGGAATTTTGTCTGGTAGAAGAAAAGTGTGCTGAAACTAAACGAAGTGGTGTGTGCAAAAGTGTGCTTTATCACTTAACCAGCCACTGACACATAAATGCCTCCATAGGTTCATAAGAATTTATATGTGGCCTATAATACTAGGAGATAATACTTTATACATAAATTTCTGCTTATGTAAGCAGATACCCATGACATCCAAAGGGTTATGCACTGGAATGCTGATGTTGGTAGTGTTAGAGTCGCAAGAAGAAAATAATATATCATAAGAATGGTGGGTATGTAAAGTAGTCACTCCCTCCAGCTGGCCGATACGGAATTTTAAACAGCTTGTTGTATATACAAAAACCAGAGCAAATGTGGGATGCGTAATTATCTTATTCCATACTTGCCATCCGCAATATCCCAACCGCTCGTCTAGCATCGGATGCATACAAGGCCCCGCCTACCAAAGTTCACACTATAGATGCTCATGACGATGATTGGCCGTTCTGATTGGAGGTCTCATTTTGGAGATCTAGGACCATCAAATATGTCAATAGTTACCAGACCCCTTTTCCACGTGATGAGTGGGTGGGGTCTGGGCATGAGACTAACCATTGACTGTAAAACACTGTTATTAACTGACTGTGCTGCTGACATTATGTAGACCTTTAAAATTCACCAAGCTAGTTGCCACAATATTCAAATGTGGATCACTAAAGTAATTTCTAAAAGTACAAATAAGCAACAGTCATACCCCAAAAAATCTGGAAACTTCAAAATGACGGCACAATTAGTTACAGAGATTATCTCCTAGAGTACAACTACAACATTATGGATGTTTGATACAGTTGTAGCATCCCCAGCCTGTTGCACTCCAGAGACAACAAGCTGGAGGTTTTCGAAACCTGCCCTTTGCTTTAAAACCTAACACCTTCCACCCTTGATCCCAGTGGCTATACACTCTAGCAGAAGTAACCCTCTTTGGTGCAGCCCTAAGTCTGCTTCCACCTACCGCAACTTACGTGGTCAGCAGCAATGCATACGGGAAGTATCAGAGACACCCAAGTAATGTGAGAGCATTCTGCCCAAAAATGATTTCTAAGAAGATGGGAAGTTTGTGTTTTCTAAGAACTACGTAGCTAGTTCCTGTGAAGACCAATATCAATTAATTGAGGTAGCCTGCATCTTCTACCCTTGCTCCCAGTATATAGCTCACATTACAAAAGCGTTACCGTTTTATGACATTCTCTGGCTCAGTATAAGTGCACAGAAATATGTCATGTACAGGAAACCCATGAACATACTACTAGTTTTCTGTACGTCACATAGTTTTGTGCACAAACTGACATAGTTAGGCTACACTGAACCAGAAAATGCCATAAAACTGAAGTATTTTTGTAGTGTATACACTCTTGCAGAAGTGCAGCCCTACACTTTATTTACTTTGTCTGTTTCCAGATACTGCAACTTGTGTGATAAACACATCGTGCAGTTCTTGCAGGAAGATATTAAAGACACCTATATATGTAGCTAACGTAGGTGATGGGAAGCAGGGAGGGTTTTGTCAACATTAGTTAATTCTAAGAAGACGGGACCTTTATGTTTTCTCAGAACTAAGTAGCTAGTTCGCAACCAGTAATCCCAGTGACGATACTCTAGTAGTGGACTTCCTATTGCAAAGGTATTTTGGTTTTCTCTGGTGCAGCACTGAGTTTTAGATATATACCTAGTCTATACTTCTACCTATCTTCAGTATAGCATGGCTAAAATAGGCAAAAGTCAGTCTCATTTTATTGCATTTTTGAGAGTATTATGGGTATGTACCTATCTTTTCTGTTGGTGCAGCCCTAATTTCCATTTAGGTACTTGACCTGAAGGTCTTCTGCAAAAATTTTATATCATGCAATGCCATTCTTCCTGCAGGAATACGTGGGAAGATGCCCATAGCAGGAGCAAAACATAGGTCTGGGAAGTCGCTTTTCTTGAAAAACCCTCCCACTTTCCTGTGGCCCACACTACTGGTGTCTTCCATAATAACTGCCTTCCTGCAGGAAGAAAAACGAGCAAGATCATCACCGTTGCCTTGAATCGTCCGTCATTCGAGGAATTAGATGACCATGCCGGTTTTTGTAGGTAAAAGTTATAGACCATGTAATCTTAGGGCCAAAGACAAAGATAGGTCAATATGCGTACCGCTAGTAATTCCAGAAAAGGCAATAATGTAGGTATTATAGTAGACTGACTGTTGCCTTTGGCTATTGAGGATATGGTCTTCAACCAAGTGTTGATAAAAGAAAGCCCCTCCTAGCACAGACGGGAACCTTCTTTTTTTTATTTTTTTATAGAGCTAGAGTGAAGAGAAAATAAATCCTCGGCGCACTGCGCATGAGCGGTACCGGCCATGGTATGCGCATAAAAACACATGCGTGTGAAGAAACTACCCGCGCATACCGTAAAAATTACAATCAGAGACGATCGGTCCCACTCCAGAAAAGTAGGTATAATTATTTGTGTAATTGCGTGCAACGCCTCTGGCGTTCGCGCGAGAACCTACGGACCGACAAACATAATACGAGCTAAAATGCTCTCGTGGCTCGCCAATAATGCGTTGCATTCCTCTAGATTGAAAGATTGGGTGATTTGTTTTACTCAAAGTGAATGGGCTGATATAACATACGCCATCAATTGTGCTAATGAAAGTGCAAAACCTCGGTGAACTGCGCATGCACCTTACTAAAGCGCTCTGAATCCTATGATGTGCTGGGCTATGTTAATTTCTCCCGCAAGTAGATATATAGCTCGCGGAGAGTCTGGCACGGGCTAGCTACAGCAGCAGATAGCATGCGGGAGTGGATACATGCCCCTCGTTGTGACCTTCAAGATATATACACAGAGCGAGCGGCCCCGGTCGTGGTCAGCAGCTTATGCGCACAGCTAAGGCCACTCCAAGTTGCATTCCGGTTTCTGGTCAGAGCCTTTTCAAGTCAAGATGCGGGCGGGCGGGTTTACTCATTATGTCGTTAGTACACTTACTAATATGACCACAAAAATTCATAGTGGGAAGACAGTCAAAACGAGACAAGTGCAAAACCATTAGTACAACACTGCGCAGTAAATAATGACCAAAACTGCGTTCTCACAGAAACCGGTATACAACTTGGAGTGGCCTAATAATCGGTTGTGCCACGCAACTCGGTCCGCGACCGTCCAGTTTATCGCTCTCGAACGCAGTCGTTTCAGGACAATCGCCCCTTTTCTTTTGCAGGCTCGCGTAGTTCTGAAAGCCACTGGTATCGCTAATAGGCCGCCTCGTAGCATCAGCTGCCTGTGGTGCCAGAATAAGCGTCGATACACAGACACACAGACTGATAGACAAACGAACCCTCACTGCGCACGCACGCCGAGGGTTAATTACCTAAGTGTGGTAAAGGTATGTGGAGTCTTGATTTTCTGCAAGGTTTTTAAATAGACAGTCCAACAGTCCGAAGTTCTTGTGAGTAACATAGGACAGAAGTATTGATTATTTTACGCACTGCCTATATGCGAGCGATTTTTCAATGGCGTATGAAAAAACATTTTAGTGCTAGCTATAATATTGCTAACTATAAATTGAAAAGGGAGCATGGCATCACATTTCATTGAAGGAAGTCAATTAACTCTAGCTACACAGTCTTTGAATTGGGAGACAATTCCAGTATAGAGAACTATGGTTTATCTGGAAATGTGTAAACAAGACGGACAACATTACGAAACTGTCCGGGATTCTCGTCATCCGGCTTGATACTTAAAATACCATGAGCCTTTCCATAGCCGAGAACTTGATTGTAAATGTCAAAGTCGACAATAATAGTACCCACTGGGTCTTGGCGGAATGGAATTGCGTTTTGGAACTGGACGAAAACCGGGCTCTGGTCACACACAAAGAATATGTGATATCCGTATTCGATTAAGTCTCCCACTCGAGCTGGAATCCCATCGACCCCTCCATAGCTACCTTGGAGTAGCTGGTCTCCTGAGAAGGAGACAAGATACCCTCCGACGTCTATTTCACGACACGTTGTACGAGTGTTTCCAGTTTGAATCCAGTTGTTGAAGACTACCTGATAGCTAATGTCTTCGTGGAAACGAACAGACTCATCTTAGCATTCTCAAAGAAGTACTCATTTTGGTCATTTGGTTGAGAGCCGGAAAAGTCAAGACCGTACGATTCGTTGTAAAACTTGATGGCATCACTTAAAACATGCTGAATGTCATCATCTCTCAACCCCATCTCTTCCTTGAAGAAGGTTTGATCTGGATCACTGATGAGACTTTGGGGGCCAACAGTCTGGTCTCTCACTCCAACAAACATGGCAGTGAAATCGACACAAGAGTGTGCAGGATCACAGAGATAGACAGGAAATTGCAGGCTGAATGCTGCAACTAGAAGAAGGCATATCCGGAAACTCATTATTTCCCTCTATATACCTGCAGATAATCAACCTGAAGCACAACAGAAGAAAGGTTGTTAAAAGTCTTGTACCACGGAGCCTGTCAAGACCGAAGAACTTGACTACTTTTATATCTACTCCCCTTGCTTCTGAAACCTCAGAAAAGCAACCACTTCACTAGTTTGGCCTTTGGCTGATTGTCACAAAGTGAGTCAACAAGCAGATGGTCGCAGTAACGAAAGGCCTAGAAACTACATCAGGTTAGACCACAACAATGGTCCTTTTCCACCAAGTGGAGCCCTGTTTCTATGGTACTACTACAGTCACTATGCACAAGCTGGGAAGCATGTACCTGTGTTTAAAGGAATGCTTTTGTACTCACCACACTCTGCTTTAGCTGAGTGAGCCTGACCACTTCTTCATGCAGTGCATTAGCAAGCATGTGAGGTTTGCAAAACCATAACTTAGAAGTGCTTTCTTTTTTATTTGTTTGTTACTCACTGGTGATAGCTATTATAACTACCTGTCTTCATCGTGCTTGCTTGAAGAAGTGCTACTGCTCAGGCAAAAACGATGAAGCCGAGTAATGTAGAGAGATCAGATTTTGTCTGGGAGTTGTTGCTTATCTACTTGGTTACTGGTCACTAGGCATTGGTTGGACTCTTTTTTACAGTCATAAGGTGTCACTAGTACTACAGATAAGATTATGTAACACCTTGTCCAGTACCCTAGTCTTCCCTAGTTGGATGGGCTTCACCTAAAAAGAGTGGGCTGAAACTTAACACCCCACAGGTCTCAAAAATAATTTATCAGACCTGTAGTGACAGTGTTAGCTACATAAAATTAATTTCTCTTCTAGAAACACTTTCTTGTTTAGTGCTGAACCCACCTGAATCTTCTGACAATCCGTGTGCAATCATGAACTACAAAGCTTGTTGGATGATATAATTGATTACGTGCATATTTTTGAGTGACCTTTGACCCAGTGGTGACCAGAATAGCTCGCCTACTAATATTACTTTTGGTATTGGTTTTGATTTAACTTAACGATTTGGACAGACAGTTGCGCGTGTATAATTATATACACTCGCATGCACAACTCCTCCACAAATAATTATGCATGTATAATTAACCATCGGCGCGCATGCGCAGCGAGGGTTGCAGTAAGTGGTCTATGTGTCTGTGTGTGTGTGGGTCAGTTACCACGTTTTCTTCCACCACGCGCAACAAAACCGGCTAAAAAGCGGACACCAGCGGTACACCGGCTTCATTTAAAAATGGCTATTTTCGTAAAAACACTGCATTCTAAAGTTAAGGCGTGAAAACAAAGTGAACAAGCCAATTGCAAAATAGTACAGGCTTACCTCGGCCAGATCCACTTGCTCTGTGTATTTTGAGAAGTCACACAGGTACGTCCGTGCTAATATGCATATTGGCTCGTTCACTTGGTTTTCACGCCGTAACTCCCGAACACAGCTGTTTCAGAGAAAACCCCACATATTTTTCGACCTTTCTCGGACGCTGAATACGTGGCATTGTTTGTGGAGCAGTTGATGGCTCGTGAAGTGAAATAGCTCGCGGACAGACAGACAGACAGACAGGCAGACAGACAAGACAACTACAATAACTCTCGCAGCGCATGCGCGCCGAGGGTTAATTAGCTAAGTGTGGTAAAAGTATGTGGAGACTTGATTTTCTGCAAGGTTTATAAATAGACAGTCCAACAGTCCGAAGTTCTTGTGAGTATATAACATAGGATAGAAGTATTGATTATTTTTCACTGCCCATGCGAGCGATTTTTCAATGGCGTATATATGAAAAAACATTTTAGTGCCAGCTACAAATTTAAAAGGGGTGCATAGCATCACATTTCATTGAGGAAAGTCAATTAACTCTAGCTACACAGTCTATGAATTGGGAGACAATTCCAGTATAGAAAACTATGGTTTATCTGGAAATGTGTAAACAAGACGGGCAACATTGCGAAACTGTCCGGGATTCTCGTCATCCGGCTTGATACTTAAAATACCATGAGCCTTTCCATAGCCGAGAACTTGATTGTAAATGTCAAAGTCGACAATAGTAGTACCCACTGGGTCTTGGCGGAATGGAATTGCGTTTTGGAACTGGACGAAAACCGGGCTCTGGTCACACACAAAGAATATGTGATATCCGTATTCGATTAAATCCAGCTGGAATCCCATTGACCCCTCCGTAGCTACCTTGGAGTAGCTGGTCTCCTGAGAAGGAGACAAGATACCCTCCGATGTCTATTTCACGGCATGTTGTACGAGTGTTTCCAGTTTGAATCCAGTTGTTGAAGACTACCTGATAGCGAATGTCTTCGTGGAAACGAAACAGACTCATCTTAGCATTCTCAAAGAAGTACTCATTTTGGTCATTTGGTTGAGAGCCGGAAAAGTCAAGACCGTACGATTCGTTGTAAAACTTGATGGCATCACTTAAAACATGCTGAATGTCATCATCTCTCAACCCCATCTCATCCTTGAAGAAGGTTTGATCTGGATCACTGATGAGCCTTTGGGGGCCAACAGTCTGGTCTATCACTCCAACAAACATGGCAGTGAAATCGACACAAGAGTGTGCAGGATCACAGAGATATACAGGAAGTTGCAGGCTGAATGCTGCAACTAGAAGAAGGCAGATCCTGAAACACATTGTTTCCCTCTACCTGCAGATACTCAACCTGAAACACAATAGAAGAAAGGTTGTTAAAAGTCTTGTACCGCGGAGCCTGTCAAGACCGAAGAACTTGACTACTTTTATATCTACTCCCCTTGCTTCTGAAACCTCAGAAAAGCAACCACTTCACTAGTTTGGCCTTTGGCTGATTGTCACAAAGTGAGTCAACAAGCAGATGGTCGCAGTAACGAAAGGCCTAGAAACTACATCAGGTTAGACCACAACAATGGTCCTTTTCCACCAAGTGGGGCCCTGTTTCTATGGTACTACTACAGTCACTATGCACAAGCTGGGAAGCATGTACCTGTGTTTAAAGGAATGCTTTTGTACTCACCACACTCTGCTTTAGCTGAGTGAGCCTGACCACTTCTTCATGCAGTGCATTAGCAGGCATGTGAGGTTTGTGAAACCATAACTTAGAAGTGCTTTCTTTTTTATTTGTTTGTTACTCACTGGTGATAGCTATTATAACTACCTGTCTTCATTGTGCTTGCTTGAAGAAGTGCTACTACTCAGGCAAAAACGATGAAGCCAAATAATGTAGAGAGATCAGATTTTGTCTGGGAGTTGTTGCTTATCTACTTGGTTACTGGTCACTAGGCATTGGTTGGACTCTTTTTTACAGTCATAAGGTGTCACTAGTACTACAGATAAGATTATGTAACACCTTGTCTAGTACCCTAGTCTTCCCTAGTTGGATGGGCTTCACCTAAAAAGAGTAGGCTGAAAGTTAACACTCCACAGGTCTCAAATATTTTATCAGACCTGTAGTGATAGTGTTACAAAAAATCAATCATTTCTCTTCTAGAAACACTTTCTAGCCTAGTGCTGAACCCACGTGAATCTGCTGACAATCCGTGCGCAAACATGAACTACAAAGCTTGCTCCGTGTATCTTGAGAAGTCACACAGGTAGCTACGCCCGTGCTAATATGCATAATTATCGGTTCATTTTCACGCCGTAACTCCCGAACGCAGCTATTTCAGAGAAACCCCCACGTACATACTTATCGGACGCTGAATAGCTACGTGGCATCGTTTGTGGAGCGATTGATGGCTCGTGAAGTGAGATAGCTCGCGGACAAACAGACAGACGCAATAACCCTCGCTGCGTATGCGCGCCGAGGGTTAATTAGCTCTTCTTCTTCTATATTCTCCATTGAAGGAGAGTACATACATACCAACATCCAGCTTTTAGATAAAATATATACGGCATATCCCACCAGAAAATTGCGAAATCCCTCTTTTTTGTGCTTACCTGTGATGCACCATGCCTATAGATTTTGAACGGACGCACAGCATTTTCAAGCAAAAATACACCAATCATCTGCTGGTCGGTAGGTAGCTATGAGAGTAGCCTATGGGGTAAGCGATTGAGTGAGGGCAAGTTGACGGCGAGCGTTCAGCATATATACTCACAACCTGCACGCTGAACGCTCGCCGTCAACTCGACAATCCACCATTACTGAGAGAATTTAATTCTCTCGGATTGTCGAGTGCCAAGGATGTACTCGGCAAAATCGGTCGGGTCAGATTCCAGTGACGACGCAATTTCAGAGGCGCCCAGCAGCGGCGGAAAAATACGGGCTGTGGAGAGGGCGGGGCAGTGAAAGATAAAGTGAGCTACCGTATTTTCCGGAGTGTAAGTCGCACGGAGTATAAGTCGCACCATACTTTAGGCCTGTCATAAGGATTTGTATGGTTACTCTATTTTTAACAAGAGAATTTTGCGAGAACAGAGCAAGACAGGCTCCGTAAACAGAGCACAAGGGCAGCTGAAACATATGATCAAATTTCAGCCTGGCGAAGAAGTGATAGACTGCGTAAAGAAACCACAAGAGCCTCTGAGCCGTTGCACAGGCATGAACGTGGCAGACTGCATAAAGCTATACTGGATACTTCTGATACTTGAGCTATTCCACGCCACCAAGGGTTTTGCACGTATGAGGGGTGCCCTTGAGTTTACTTCACTGGCCTATATATTATAATTGAGGACGAGTTTACTAGAGCAGCCTGAGGGTGAATCCAGCCAGCAGCTCGTGAAGGTTCTGAGAAGATAATAATTTATAAGGACTGACATAATTTCACATGTGAAAGAAAGTTGGAGTTTCATTATGATACAATCCAAACAAAACCAAGGAATATCTACAGAAGACAGTGGGTCACCCGCAGTGTGAGGTATATAATAGCCAAATGGAAGAGCTTACTACCAGAATGTTTTTTTCAAAACGAATGAGAGAGTTTGAAGAGTTTCAAGCATTTGTTGAGTCGAAACTTCATAAGCGAAGTTTTATATGAGAGTACAAAGTTCAAAGTGCATTTTTAGTTAGCTGAACTTCAGTGGAAAAGTTGTGGAAGAGATCGTTGCTACAGCCCGCGCGACCGTGGAGCGGCAACACCTTGACTTTGACAGGTACGCGTGTCGCTTATAAGCGACAGCGGCGTTGCCAGCGCGCGCGGATCTGTCGCGTATAGGCGACAACGGCGTGTAATTACTGTTATGATCTAACAGATGAGATTGACTATGACGATGACGAACAGCCCAGGATGCATGCTGTACGGTCCAGCACTTCTCTCCCAACATCAGTCGCTACCAACCCCCCCAGCGACCACTCTCTCCTCCCAACATCAGTCGCTACCAACCCCCCCAGCGACCACTCTCTCCTCCCGACATCAGTTGCTAGAAATTCACTCCCTCCCAGCACTCTCTCTCCACCCACTGCGTCCCAAACACCTTACACTCCAGCATGGAGTAGACAGACTCATCCTGTCACTGTCACCCTATTCACCAGTGCAGTAGGTCCTACGTTTGATGTCCCAGAGTCTCCCTCCTCTGTGTTCCTTCATTTCTGGCCTGACAACTATCTGCAAGAGATCTGTGCACAAACAAACCTCTATGCACAACAGGTAATTGGGGCCAGCGAAGTACGCAGATTGGGTGGAGGTGAGTGTGCCAGAGTTGAAGCCTATTTGGGGTTTTTCCATACTCATGGGGATTGTTGAAGCTCCCAGCTCTGGAGGACTACTGGAAGGTTGACCCCTTTACATGACACTCCCCCTCGCATTTCGAGACAGCGTTTTAGGGACATCTCCGCTACCTCCATTTGTGACAACACCCAGCTAGTGTCTCGTGTGTCAGCCTGGCTATGACAACTGGGGAAGGTGCGGACCGGTCATGACCATTGCAGTAGGGGTGTTCAGGGAGAGTTACGACCCACACTGTGAATGCGCGGAGCTGATGAGATGATCAAATGCAGAGCAGGACATCCCTCAAAACAATATATCCCACAGAAACCGTTAAAGAGAGGGATAAAAGTGTGGGTCAGGCTGACAGCCACAATGCTACTTCGCCAGTTTGAGGTGTACCAGGGAGAGGGGAGCAACACGACACTGAGCTTGGTCTTGGGGGGTCTGTGGTGAAGACCTTGGACACGGCCTCTTGTGGGAAAACAACACCATATCTTTATGACAACTTTTTCACGAGCCCAGGCACTGCTCATGGACCTGGTTCAGGGATGCATCTAACGCCTGTGGAACAGTCCCGATCGAAACAGGAGAGGTTTTCCACAAGATCTAAAGGGCGAAACGAAGGTTATTGAGAACAGGTATAGGAGGCACACTGGCTACACTACACACACATCTACGAGGATACAGGGCACACTCTACAGCAACACACACACAACTACAGTTATACACACTGCTACATACATACATATTACTGAACGTATACATAGTTTTATAATCCACACTTGCAGGGGGGATTGTCACAGTCGGACATCTGGTCAGTGTGACGGCAACAGTCTGGTTGACAACAAAGCAGGTGCACAGTGATGGCGACCAATGTCCAGCAGCCATGATGAGAGAGGACTGTCAGACGCAGTGCACACTGACACCACTGTGCGTGAGTCAGGCACGACATCAATAAGATACGGACAACAGGTATGGATGGGAGGAGTGGACAGTGGGTGATCAGCTACTGCCGAAATATACCTACCTGAGTACGCCTAAAGCGGCGGAAGGTGTACAAGTACAATTTTCGGGGTTTCTTGTAGACGCCTCATCGCCAACGCGTCATCCTCCAGCCAGCATAAACACAGTCCACATCCACCAGACCGTCACTCCTTCAACGCCTTCCGTCTATCGAGTCTGCGATAAGGCGTGATAGGGATTACAACCGCAGGAAGCGTGCAGCGCCAACAGCAGCTCCAGTGTCGACCCCCCGACGACAACTTGCACTGGCCCACTTCCCATGTGCGCGACAACAGCAGCAAGAAGGCATTGCTCGGTGTTTGCACTAAGCTCCCACATCCCCGTCGCCGCCACTGAGGAGAGAGACATGTGGTACTGTGGAGAGTGCGACTTGGACCTCTGGCCACACAGGAGTCAGATGAGACTGACTGCTTCATGGCACACCCTGAAGCACTACTATGAGTATTGTCGCACTTCTTCATCAGTAGTCAACTGCACATACGCTAAAAGTACACGTAAAGCGGCAAGTTCTAACGGCAACACATCACTTATGCTGTGAATAAACTTACTACATACTTACCAGCATTCCTGAAGCGTTCAGGGCCTTCTTCTTCTACACATTAGCGCTGAGTTGCGTGAAATCCAAAACGCTCGACGTCTTCTATGCCTGGTAGCGCGTGATATGAGAATCACATCAACCCGTCATATTCTTTACACAAATGTTTGCGTATAAAACTTACCACCTTCACACTATTGCTGAAGCTGCAAGGGACTCTTCGTCATAGTACGCTGAGTAGTGAGTGTATAACTAGTTGTCCACGTTTATTCGCTAGACGCCAGGAACACGAAATAAGACCACGTGTACGTAGACGCGGTGTGCGAACATCCGGCCCCACCCTTACGGCCGTGCGCGCGCCTGCGCGCATAAAATAACGGCTAGTGTAAGCGGTTAATGGTTAAAGCCTGCCAGACCTCGATGGCTGAGTTGGAAGCTTGTGTATAAACCGTCTAATTGGGTCAGTACAAAGCCCGGTTGGCGTACTATCGACAGTACAGAGGATCGCCTATAGCAGTAGTCCGAAGGATAAGAGCTAACCTTGAAATATCGTTATTTCTTTCCCAGTGTCTCTCCAATAATTTCAACAAGTTAATGTCACCTGTTTTGCATGTCCTCCAACAAGAGGAGGATGGTTTTGTACGCAAGCTTTTACTGCGGTTTATGCAGTCTGAATATATTCCAGTGTTGTTGAAGTGAGCATAGAAAATGAGTACTACCTTCCAACAGAGGAGGTGTTTCTGGGAGATTCCACTCTAGAGTATGTAGAACCTACGGATGAAAAGCACTGAAGTACAAACCCTCGGCGCACTGTGCTGTGACGCGCACGCGTAAGTAAACGCATGCGCCGTACCACTAATTGATGGGCTGGGTTTAGTTTTAGCTGTTACTCGTGGTCTCTTGCCAGCTCGCGCAGAGTCTGACGCGGGCTAACTACACTACTAGATAGTATGCGAGAGGCCCTGCGTTGCACCTTCTGGAAGTACGCAGAGCACGCGGATCCATCCGACTGTGGTAAGCCATCCCGTCCGTTGCTTTTCCCGCTATAGCTTAGCAACGGAGCATTTTCAGACAAAACCGCCTTTATTTTTCTGATCTTCGTCGCCCGTTGGGTAGATTGTATCGTTTCTGGGACGAACAGACGTTCGAGAAGTGAGATTGAGAGTAACAGACAGACAGACAGACCCAATGAAAAGCACTAAAGTACAAACCCTCAGCGAAGCAGCTCGCAGAGAGTCTGACATGGGCTAGCTACAGCTGGTTCAAAGGACAGACATGTCCCTTTGTGTTGTCAGTAGTAGTAGATAGCACCGATACACGCCATTCGCTATGACTTCTTGTGCCAGAGCAAGCGGACCCGGCCGAGGTAAGCCTGTGCTAGATAAGCGCATGCGCATTATCCGCCAGCGATAAAATGGCGACTACCGGCATTAGCCATACAATGCTGGAAGCGCTCTAGCTTTGCAACGGAGCACTTTCAGAGAAAACCCCACATATTTTCTGACTTTCATTGCCCGTTAAGTAGATCGAATCCTTTGTGAGACGAGATTGAGAGTAACAGACAGACAGACAGACAGACAAACCCCCAACTAACTACAGTAACCCAATGAAAAGCACTGAAGTGCAAACCCTCGGCGCATTGTGACGCGCACGCGTAAGTAAACGCATGCGCAGTACCACTAATTGATGGGCTGGGTTTAGTTTTAGCTGTTACTCGTGGTCTCTTGCAGGCTCGCGCAGAGTCTGACGCGGACTAACTACACTACTAGATAGTATACGAGAGGCGATACACGCCCTTCGTTGCATCTTCTGGTGCCTCCGAGGTACGCAGAGCACGCGGATCGATCCGACTGTGGTAAGCCATCTCGTCCGTTGCGTATTTGCATATTGGCTTTTTCGCGCTCTAGCTTTGCAACGGAGCAGTTTCAGAGAAAACCCCACATATTTTCTGACCTTCGTTGCCCGTTAAGCAGGTCGTATCCTTTGTGAGACGAACAAACACCCGAGAAGTGAGATGTAGATGTAACGGCCGACTAAGACAGCAGACAGACAAACGTAACCCTCGCTGCGCATGCGCGCCGAGGGTTAATCACTTCTTCCTATATACCGGAAAAAATTAGGTAAACATGCCAATCTTGGTGGTGTATCCGAGCGTCGGTAGACGCTCTATGTAGGGATGGCACGGATGAAATCTCACGTGATCCGCGTATAAAACGCTACTAAACTCGGCGAGAACCCCCAGCTTTGCCTTCAAAATACACTATAAGCGACTGGCGGGCCCATATCTAGCTACACATACCCCCAAAAGTATTTTACATACCTGCAATTTGCAAGACAAGAATCTGCTCTTACGCGAGTTCACGATTCCCGTGTCATCATAATAATATTCTTCATCTTCTTCGTTAAACCCGCTATCTTCTTACTGGAACGAGTTGATGTACCAATTTTGTCACTAAACGTCTCCCGGGATGTTCAAGATGTGCATCATCCTTAAGCGATCGTTGTTTTCTTTCCGCCTAGCCCTACGAAAGATTACTGGCGATCAAGGCCGGGAGTAGCAGACCTACGGCATTTTCACGGTGCGAGATCACCCGTCGGTCACATGAGGGCTAGGACCCCACCCATTTGCGCGAGCGCTTCGGCGCTCGCGTTCGTTATAAGCGTCATCTCCGCGGTGGCTCTCTTCTAGGCCTGAGACTATTATTCCCATATTTGTCCGGATATTCTATTCTGAATTTCCTACTCCATATGCCTATTATTCTTTAAAGTTTACCCATTATTCACAGAAATTTACCTATTATTCTGCTTGAAAAATGAAAAAAACAGTACTATACAGAGAAGGCACATAAATATAACATTAAACATCACCGGATGGGAAGTCGACGCCATTTTATCCACTTGGTTTTTATCCCTGATTTCCTGTCCGAATCGGAGTCCGTTCCGATTTGACCCACTCGTGTGCGTGACGCGCGTCCACTCGCACTTCGCCCTTCCGCGAGTTGCCACCGTTGCGGGCTCGTCGCTCGCTTGGAATCTTTCAACCTATTATTCTTGGAATTATTATTATTCCCAGAGGGACCTATTATTCCCGAAATTATTCTGGAATAATCGACGCAGGACTACTCTCTTCGCTCTAATTGTTTTGAGCTCTGTTAGGCCGCCGTTTGTGCAAGTGAACTTTACGTTTTCCGACTGTGCTCCTGAGTGCTACCTTCTGTTAGTGTTGTTGGTGTACCGTGTCATTTACCAGCCGTGGCTGCTGCTATTTTCGTCAGTTTCGTGCTGGACTTTCTGCCACGCCCTTTTCGTTCAGAGGTAAGTTATGACCGAAAAGTATATACTGCAAATACTATCCCGTATTATGTATATTATACCCCTATAGCTAGTGCCCCCTGCTGCTAATAAGTTTGATTTGTCGGGTTGGGGGCTGAGCTACTCA